TAAAATTGGTAACGAGTAACGGTAACGAGTTACTTTTTAGAAAAAAGAACGGTAACGGTAACGAGTTACTTTTATAAAGTAACTTTCCCAACCCTGCCAAAAACTACTAACGCCTTGAAAGAGAAATTATTTTCGAGAAATGAGAGATCGATGCCGCATCCAAGTCGACAGATTCGGATTGTGCACACGTAAACCAACAGCGAAGCTTTTTGATAGATATAAACCAATAATAGAGTATCCATTCGGGACTTACTATCGTTTGATACCACTATACATTAAAAGTTGGTCAATCGATTACGAATAAAGATGAAGATTTTTTGGTGTACGTGCTTGTAGACACAGGTGGATATCGCCGACGTCAATGCCCGGATTATCTGGGGGAAAACCTACGATAACGATAGAAAATGTGTAAATAATCTCAACATTGTATTTACTCGACGTATACCTTCGATGTCGTATCTTAACACTTAAACTATACAATCTTAAAAATACAATTATCTCTTCCTCCAATATTTAAAAAAAAAATTTTTACGATTAGCAATGAATATATCTTTCTACATATCTAAAAAAAAAAAAGAAAAAAAAAGTTTTTTTTAAATATTCATTATATATTATATTATATATATTAAACTTTTTTTAAATCTTTGCACCTCCTTCCCCCCTTGCAGAGGAGAGCAGTTAAGACGGTTTCTGATAAAAATTTTTGATACGAGTTTCTGATAAAAGAAACATGTTTAATGACAAAATATATGTTTAAATCAAAGCATATCTTTTAATTTAATTTAATCAAAAATAAGAACGTAACAAAATGATATTACGTTATCTAAGGCACAATTAAGGCTTATCCAAGCAAACCTGCATAGCCGCATATATGCGCAGAAGAATTGATCGATCACGTGTCTAAAGGATGTCACATAGCTGCATTACATTAAACACATGATTGGTCGATTCATAAATATGCATTATGCGGAAGCCATGCAAGTTTGTCCGTATGCATAGATTTTTAAATACACTTATAGAGAGAATTATCAACGCAAATTATGAATACTCGTAACGTCGTATGTGTTGCAATACAAACTTTTGAAAGAATATTATTAAAAAAGCAGAACAATCAAGAAAAATTATTTTATATTATATTGTTAGACGCGGTAATTATATATACATGATATGATGTTATTTCGATCGCATTTGCGTGCAAAATGACATACATGATTTTGCAAGCAGCGCTGTTTATCACACGCAATATATGCTATCGCAAAATCACGTGCACATTCATATTTACATACAAATATCGTTCCAATATTCATTAATAAGTGCCATACGAAATATGACTTTCTTAAAGCAATGTGATATTTGCACATGTATTCACGACAAACGGGTCATTGAGATTTCAGTAATAATTTTTCGTAACTTCACGATGCAAAATACAGTTGCTAAATAGACACATTAAAAATACAGAATTGCAGATATATTTTTTGCATGAAATTTATAGATTCCGTGCAAATACTTTTGAATTAAAATGGCGAATGACACCTACGATCTCTAATTAATCGATTAATTTTGCGAAATAATGCAATTTCATGAATCAAAATTAACCGAATGCATGATCTTCCTATTAAGCTTGACCGCCTTCAATATATTAATATTAAATACAAATATTATATGTACGTATGTGTATGTGTATATTATTGATACATATTAATATTTTCTATTATATTGTTACATTAATTTTATAATTATTTTATATTGACTTGTGTGTATGTATAACATATCGTATAAGAAAATATATATTAATATAAATTTATCTTATGTGTGTTTGCAACGTTATCTGAATAATGTTGCACACACACAAACTTGTGTTATTTTCTGATCGCATTAAGCTTAAGCGTTTACACGTCTGTTATCTCAATCTTGGAAAATTATGGACTTATGTTGTTTACAAAAGAACCGATTAAAGTCGCGATTATATAAGATAGAAAGAAAGGTAGCACTTTTAAATTCGTACCGCGACAAATACCACTATTATACAGCCATACAACAGAGTTGGGGAAGTACGCTGACTCAAGAACGGCGAAGCGTATGGATGAACGCATCGTTCCTTTGGCATTTCAACCTCATTCTATGGTGCTTTTTTCTAATGTACTTTGTTTTCTTGTGTCTTCAATATTCCTTAGCGCGATTCAATAGCTTGCATGAGCTATTAATTAACGGGCTCTATGCAAATAAAAATTTGCAAAAAAGGAAGCAATAATTTTGATGACTAGATAAATACTTGAAAAATAGTGTTCTCGCGATATTGTTTATAATAGTGTCGATAAATGTTGCATGAAACTAACGTTTATTTCGTATTGATGTTTTCTCGCAAATTCGCGGATCACAATCATGTTTCTAGATTATGTATGTCATAAATAGAAAATTGATTGAATTCGTCATGCCATTAAATGAAAATTTAACACAGAAGTAATATTAACTTCATTTAAAATCAATTACTTATTATTTAAATTAATAACTTTTTATTTAAATCGCATTGCTTTCTTTTCTAAAATCTTCTTGCTGCCGAATTAACTATACATATAATTTTAATTTTGTAATCAAAGGATTTAGGGAAAAAATGAAGAGAAATTAATTTATAAATGATCAATTTTAAATGAGTAATCAATAAATTTAACAAATTATTGATACTTGCCTCTTTATTAGGTGTTCTAAACTCTTCAATCTTGCACATAATTCTCTATAAAAATATTATTCGCGAGAACGTGCGCGTTTGCTAATAACGAACTATGTAACTTTTAAAATCTGACACTTACAGCTTCCTCTATGTCAATTTTCCAAACAACGGATCTCAAATGCTTGATTGGCCATCTATCGTTGCCAAATATTGACGAACGGCGTTCCAAGTCAAGCTTGCAGAAACCCGAATTTTTTATGCTGCCCTCGGTCGATGTGTTTTCTTTCGTTCACTGCAGGAAATTCACACTGCCTTGTCTGTATTTCATAACTAGGAGAAGGAAAAACTCGAATATAATGATTGCGAGATAGATGTCGACTGCTACCGGTCTTCACTGAGAAAGAAATTGTAAAATTTTTAAAATTAAGAAACTATGCGTGAAATGTCGTATGCATATACTATATGCTGTTAACTTACAAACTGCTTGTCTCCTATTTATGCCATGTCTACATGTGAATTGCATTTTAAAAACTTCTGATAGATAAAAGAGGAGGAGAAGGTAAACAGATAAAAAGAAGAGGAAGAAAGTAGGTTCTTACTTTATTTTAAAAGTTTGAGGATTCGTTGATGGGAGAGGAGGCGTTACCATTCTTACCATTACTGAAGCTGCACTGAGACCGCGTCTTACTAATCTCGGATAAATATTGGTTCGCTGTTATTTGCCGTATTGCATACATACGTGTAGATTTTTCCTTGCATTATCCAAGTTCTAATATTAATAGCGATTAGTAATTCTATAAGATTTTGAAAATTAAACTATAGTATATAAATAACAGTATATAGATAACTAGCAAAACTATATTCTTCAATTAGTTTCAAATAGACTTTGCTTTAATAAAGTTTAAATTAGGGGTTTAAATGCAACAATGAATAAGATTGTAAAGTTGCGATAAATGATCAAAGTGAATGTGTATTGATCACAAAATCTATCATCAAGAGTTGACACTTTAGTGACGGGATCGTATTTACTTTGATGTATTACTTTATATATCACATTCGATATGCGCGATAACAATAAAAATTATTTACTTTTAAGATTAAAGCGTAATGGAAAAAAACTGGAAGAAGAAACCTTAAAAATGCAAGAAAAATCTGAGATTTGAATTTATAATCCACCTATTGTTAATAAGTCTATATAAGTTATATTTTTTCGATATGACAATCTCATAGATAATCAAATTGATTAATCAAATTGAAAATTAATCACATTTAACACTAAATACAAATACACACACACAGGAACATTTGAAAGATATGTGATCTAATTATAGGCAATTGCAATAAAATAAAATCAAGAAAATAAAAATAAATTCTTTATTGTCAAGAGACATCCAATGCATGACAGTTTTGATGTATGTAAAAGTAATATAATATGAAAATATAATAAAAGTAGTAGAAAAATAACAACTCTCTTTAATTTATCATAATGTAATCATCATGTGTTATAATGTTCGAGTATACCTTGTCTGATAAGTGGCTCGCATGTAGCTCTCGGAAGCAGATGGTATGTGTTCTTTTTGAGCGTAATAATCTCGCCGTCTTCGAGTTCCAGCTTACCAAAATCGGTTAAGCATTTCACCTAAAAGAAAAATTATATTTGATTATTATATTGACAGAAAGCTAATTATAAATTTTATTTCCCTCTTTCTGTTCAAGATTTCAAAAATTTTTTTAATGTTAACATCTTTCACAACACAGTTTAAGTCCTTAAAAATATTCATCAAGTCCATAATAGATGTCCCTCCTCTAATATTTTTCTAAAAAAAATATCTTAAAGCTTTTCTTAAAGAAAATTTTAAAGAAAAAGAGATGTGTGTACAGAAAGCAAGAATAAATTCTTATGAGACAAAAATAAATTCTTTTTTTCATATATTAAATATATTTAAATATTTAATGATCAAAATCAATTTAAAAATAATGCAGAAGAAAAACTATTTTTTGGATAATGTACATATATAAAATTAATTAAATGATAAAACATTGAGTATATATTTATAGAGATTGAGTAAAATATATATTGATAAGAATGATTGAAATAATTATACATAGAGAACAGAAAGTTCAGGAAACGTGTAAAATGATTTTTTTACACAGTTCTTTCTATTATATGTGTGTTGCTTTGGCTTACATTATAGATACTTACTTCGACATAGAGCATCTTTGGAGGACTCATGTTCACAGTCAGATTCAATCCGTAATCATCTCCAATCGATCTCATATAAGTGGCCAGAGACTTGTTGTAATTTTGAAACCATTGCATTTCTGCATTCAACAAGTTGGCTGTTATCTCAGTTGGCAAAATGCTGCCCAATTCCCAACGCATTTGCCGTAAACGCCTAATCCGATGATACAGATATGCCAGAACGCATCTTTTATTTCTGAGCAGGGCTGTATGGCGGAAGTGCACTGATGGTAACAACTCATTGTTTCCTTCATTCTGTATAGTGTTACTGAAACATTTATAGAAAGTTTAAGACATTTGTGAAAAACAGAAAAAAAACTTGTCAAGAGAGTGAGATCTAATCTTTAGTAAAACTCGATTTTGACTGCTAAATTACAGAATAAACACATATTACTTCCTTAAATTTATTATAATATTGTTTATACAATAACTGTGTGTTTTGATCTCTTTTTTATTTCTTATATTAATCTTTTTAAATTGTAAAATAGTTTTGATCAAAGTATAATATAATATACCTGTCCACCAGATTGGCCTCGTAAAGAGTCTGCATCTCTTCAAAAACTTGTCGCATTACTTGCTCCTGAGAATTGGGAAAGACTTTATGATTATATGGCTATTTTTATAATTAGAATGATAACAACATTCATACTTACATTAAACGGTCGGATATCCTCATACATATCGAGCTCTGTTACGAGTTTGATAGCTTCTTTTCCAAACATGTTTGTAAAACTGTTATAATTGTTTATCAAAGTTCGTTAAAGCTTTTGACACATATGTATACCTCTGTAATATAAGATATATGTTCATTATAAAATTTATATTCATTTTCTCTTATCTAAAGTCCTTGTCTTCCATTTGTACAAAAAATTGCATGTTTAATTTTTAGCAAACTTGTTTACAAATACATTGAAATTTAAATATCAGTCACGTGATCAGCTATTATGCGTGCATGCGCGTAACAAAACCTAACCTCCAAAACAATAAATCTACGCATTCATAACAATTATCATAACGTATTATTTTTGATGCAAATGGAATTTAATCAACACATTTTCACGTTATGTTCGAGTATTAATAAATCCAATGACACCTTCCACTTTTATCAACTTCGATAATAAATTTTTTAACGGTTACCGTATTCGTTAATGATGATTCGAAGAATCGATGATCATAATTTCTTGAACTTTTGAATATGTGATGTGATTATTGTAAACTATATAATTTACGATATTGTCGAATAATCATTCAAAATTAATCGAATAAAATGAAAAATAAGCTGAGCTGCAAAATGTTTCGAATACTATATATATCACACGCGCATTTTAAATACATATAGATGCCATCTAGCGATTAAAGAGATGGAACATATAAGAACATTTCCGCGAATTACTATTTTTAAATATTTAGCTATTATTTTTTAAGATCAATAATTAATTATATACACAGACTTCATTGTATATAATAATTATGGTTGATAATAATAATAATATTATTATAATATATATTACAAGAGATAAAACTTCTAATAATAATGATAACATAATGACTTAATTTTAATATAATGATAATTAAACACAGCTAAGATTTTTTAATATTGATAATATATACTAATAAATATAATAATATATATATATATATATATATATATATATATATATATATATATAATTATTATTATAATAATTATCTGTGATTGTATATAATAACAATAATTATGATCTTTATTTATATGAATATATACATACATAGGCATTTGTTTTATATATTATTCGAAAGAAAGAATATCATTAAGCAATAACTTTTTATGGGAGTATACCCTTTTATCTAATTTTTCCAAAAACACATTTTTTAAATATTTTGAGATATATATTGTAGAAATTAAATCCATTACTGAATCCTACGTAATATATATATAGTTACATAGTAACCGAGCACGTGCAAAATCAACAAAGATCGTGGTTACTTATCGATGCGTGAGTCTCGCTTTAATTGTTAAACGAGTACTGTTCTAATTGCCAAGGAAAAATCGGCTGTGACACGCAATCCATTTCTTGCAAAGCTCTTTAAAAACGCGACGAAACAGAATTGTGTCAATTTATCTGAATCGGTAAATTAAGTCACAATTTTTATATTATGCAAATCAATGTTTTTTTGTTTTTTTTTTAAATAAAATTGTAAAGTTTTATACAAGACAGTGGCAATGATGATTTTGTCCTTGGCTGCTTAGCACCTTGAGAGTCAGAATGATTCTGTATGCAATTTTTTACATATTGTTAACATTCCTCATATATTACCCTATATATTAATAATATGTATATAAATGTTAGTATTATGCTAAAATATTGGTTTTTTTAATTTATGAAAATGTAAATAATCTTTGTTATAATTTTTATATTGTATTTTTATATAATAAATTTTATATATAAATAAAACAATAAATAATTGTTATATAATAATTTGGCATAATACTTAATGTATTTGTGCCAACATTTCCATAGTTTATATTAATATTTAAAAATAACAAATATATGAGTACAAAATATATGATGTTTGAACATTAAAATGTGTAATTGTATTAATCGAAAGAAAAAAAATCTGCCGTCATTTCTATATAAAAAACAGTGGAAAAAATATTAAACCAAAAGGCTTTCAGTTCTAGACGTTGCTATCGTTTCTTTGTTGAAGAGGTTTTTTTCTCAAGACATATCCGGGTTAATGTCTTGTGACAGGCTATTATATAGGGGAACTAACTTCGCAGAACCCTCATTTTTCTGCACCGTAATTACCTCTGCGTGTATTTGTATCACAAGCTCATTAATCATTATATTATATCGCGTGCCTACAATGTCGCCGATGTCCCCGTGCGGTCGAAAGCGAACCCGAAAGCCGAGCCTATGCAAACGAACAGAAAATACGCGATTAAAGCAGTACTTCTCTTCACTTTGCCGAAGTTAGATCAATTGATCCGATATCGAAATTCACATCTTCGGCGAAAAGAGCTAGTAGAACTAGTTTCGTAATCGCGATCTGCGAGATTAATATTCTTCCAGCTTCAAAGATGTTGCGTCATAAAAGGGTACAGCGAAAATCGAGAACGTCTGAAAAATATGATAATTACATATAATTGCAATAAAATTACAATAATTTCAAACAATGCGGAAATTCAAAAAGCATTGAAGAAATATCTGAAAGCTATCTTAGATGTCTTTTAGATAGCTTTTGGATTCTTTTCAATGTTTAAACACATTGGAACCATTACAAAGACTATCTCCAAAATGTATAATTTTTGGATTAATATAATAAATTTTTTTATCTTAGGGTGGAACAAAAACGACGAGAAGAATGGCGAAGAAGGTAGCACCCGCGGCATTGCAAACAGAAGTTGTTAATGACGAAGAATGGGCGAAGGTATTGACGCGGAAGGGTTTAGTAGGCGAGTAATTTTTATCTTGTATAAGTATAGAAATATCTTTTCGATTAGATTGTTATAAAAGGAATTTTTGATATAATGTCCTTGTTTAGTAGTAGATGTGTACTCGGACTGGAGTGGTCCTTGCACAGGCATGGTGAGCATCCTGAAAAAGATAAAGATGGAAATTGGAGGCGACGCATTGAGTTACGCCACGGTAATTATCAGGAAACGTGGTATAAAAAGGATTATTATAGATATCGTATAAATAAATAAAAATTTTATTTAATAGCACAAAATCAAAATATGCTATACATATAGAAATAATATATTTGTCCTACAGAAATTATTTTTCTTTTAATTAATGTCCAACACAAATATCAGACGTATAAAAATATTTTTAACATGTTACTCTCTTTTATCGTTTTCAGGCAAATTGCGATCACGTCACCGATTTAAAAAGATTTCAAGGAAAGAGCGAACCCATATGGATGTTTATTCATGTAATTATCTTGTAAAAATAATTCGCGCTAAAAACAATTATTACAATTGAATCCTATTTTCTGACAGGAAGAACGAATGATCAATTTAATGTTTGGAGCGGATTGTCCGCAGTTTGTGAAAATGCTGACGACCGAACTCGAAAGGGTTCAAAACGGGGGCGAGCACGAGTAAGCTGAAAATCAACGATTCACCTCAAAAATTCTTGGGCATTATTAATCAGTTAAATAATTGAAATGTTGATGATATCTCAAGTTATCAAAAAAATTAATTTAATATCGATTAAACAATTCGTTCATTAAATATCAATCAACTGCAAGAATTCTATGACGTCCTAATCACATGATACAATATCGTAAAATATAAATTCGTTATTACTTTTGAATTTTTTATTCTGCTAAAAATGCAGATTCTCGATAGACGTTTCCAAGATGAGTCCAGAAGAAGTAACACGAGTGAAAATCGAGGAAGAGACAAAAATAGCCAAGGAAATAGCGAGAAAATCTCGGAAAGGTAAAATATATCATTAATCATAAGCACTAAATAAATCAACTTCCGCCCGAGACAAAATCCGATTATATACGAAAATTACTCTTATCGCCTGATATAGCAAAAATATTGTTACATAGAAGCTGAAGCTAAAGCGAGATACGAGGCGGAGATGCTGCATCTGACGACATCATTGTGCAACGAGACTTGTCTGCTGCTGTTTCCCTGGATATTCAAAGACGAAGAAGGACGTAGAAGAGATAAGAGGATGAGTCCACCATATGTGGAATTAGTTGAAGAATTATTACCGGAAAATTACACTGTGGAACAAGAGATACGCAAACGACTGAATGAGGATTTGCTCCGGCAGATGCTCGATGAAGTATTTTTGTTTCCTTATGCTATAACAGACTCTTATTATTCAGCTATTGTTAGTAAAAATATAACATGTTCTATTTTTTAACATGCAGTCTACATATAGTTTTTCGGAAGCTACCAAACAATTGCTCTTTGATGGCAAATGTATGTTTATGCGATTGAAGATTGTCGAAGGGAGAAAGAATCTGGAAGTTCATAATTATCTGTGCAGTATTCTGTTCAATGAACCAACATTACCGGAAACAGACGACTGTTTAAATGAAGATTGGTATGCGATTTATTTTCAGTGTGCAATTTGATGCATTTGCAATATAAAGTATAAAATTAATTGGAAAACTGATACCACAATATATACCGACAAAATAATATTGATGATAAAACTATTGAAAATTGTTAGTACTTGCGATTAATATTGTAATAATCTATGTTTTTAAAATTAATCATTACTTTATGTAGTTACGCCGGAAAACATTGCCCAGCTTTTGACATTCCTGACAAGGAAAATAGAAAATTTCCTTTTGTTTGGACACCTCCAAATCCTAGAAACAAGGCAATTGTTTTTCGTACAATATTCAATGTTTATACTAACACAACATATCCGGTAAGTATATGTGAAAAGTACATTTCACAAAATTTAATAGTTTTTCTCGAAATCTTTAAAGGGCTTGAATCGAGACATAGATAATAATTATATATGAAAAATCAGACAATATAATTATACATAATTCTGATTCTATATTATATTTCTTTAATCTAATTTACTTAAAATTATAATTTATTAAAATATACATGCAACTTTTTAATAATATATATATCTCGATTCTCTCCACAGTATGAAGATAAAATGACAAAAGTGCCAATAACCATCTTCAAATATGATTATACGCGTAAAAATGATTTAAAAATGGTGTTGGACATGTTCAACGATGAGGTCCTCAATTTTGGTATATTTGAATATGATAAACCGCCTGAGGCTAAGATAATTGCCAAAAGTATAGAGACATTCGAGATGAACACGGAAGAGAAGACAGGGTATTCTCTTCTATCATATACATATATATAAAATTAAAAAATTCAGTGATGTAATCCATTTTTCCAGAATTTAAAAAAGTTAATCTATAATTTAATTGTGACTTTCTTCTTTAAAAACTATGGACAATATGCTATATCATTCAATTTCTCAAGACATATCCGGGTTAATGTCTTGTGACAGGCTATTATATAGGGGAACTAACTTCGCAGAACCCTCATTTTTCTGCACCGTAATTACCTCTGCGTGTATTTGTATCACAAGCTCATTAATCATTATATTATATCGCGTGCCTACAATGTCGCCGATGTCCCCGTGCGGTCGAAAGCGAACCCGAAAGCCGAGCCTATGCAAACGAACAGAAAATACGCGATTAAAGCAGTACTTCTCTTCACTTTGCCGAAGTTAGATCAATTGATCCGATATCGAAATTCACATCTTCGGCGAAAAGAGCTAGTAGAACTAGTTTCGTAATCGCGATCTGCGAGATTAATATTCTTCCAGCTTCAAAGATGTTGCGTCATAAAAGGGTACAGCGAAAATCGAGAACGTCTGAAAAATATGATAATTACATATAATTGCAATAAAATTACAATAATTTCAAACAATGCGGAAATTCAAAAAGCATTGAAGAAATATCTGAAAGCTATCTTAGATGTCTTTTAGATAGCTTTTGGATTCTTTTCAATGTTTAAACACATTGGAACCATTACAAAGACTATCTCCAAAATGTATAATTTTTGGATTAATATAATAAATTTTTTTATCTTAGGGTGGAACAAAAACGACGAGAAGAATGGCGAAGAAGGTAGCACCCGCGGCATTGCAAACAGAAGTTGTTAATGACGAAGAATGGGCGAAGGTATTGACGCGGAAGGGTTTAGTAGGCGAGTAATTTTTATCTTGTATAAGTATAGAAATATCTTTTCGATTAGATTGTTATAAAAGGAATTTTTGATATAATGTCCTTGTTTAGTAGTAGATGTGTACTCGGACTGGAGTGGTCCTTGCACAGGCATGGTGAGCATCCTGAAAAAGATAAAGATGGAAATTGGAGGCGACGCATTGAGTTACGCCACGGTAATTATCAGGAAACGTGGTATAAAAAGGATTATTATAGATATCGTATAAATAAATAAAAATTTTATTTAATAGCACAAAATCAAAATATGCTATACATATAGAAATAATATATTTGTCCTACAGAAATTATTTTTCTTTTAATTAATGTCCAACACAAATATCAGACGTATAAAAATATTTTTAACATGTTACTCTCTTTTATCGTTTTCAGGCAAATTGCGATCACGTCACCGATTTAAAAAGATTTCAAGGAAAGAGCGAACCCATATGGATGTTTATTCATGTAATTATCTTGTAAAAATAATTCGCGCTAAAAACAATTATTACAATTGAATCCTATTTTCTGACAGGAAGAACGAATGATCAATTTAATGTTTGGAGCGGATTGTCCGCAGTTTGTGAAAATGCTGACGACCGAACTCGAAAGGGTTCAAAACGGGGGCGAGCACGAGTAAGCTGAAAATCAACGATTCACCTCAAAAATTCTTGGGCATTATTAATCAGTTAAATAATTGAAATGTTGATGATATCTCAAGTTATCAAAAAAATTAATTTAATATCGATTAAACAATTCGTTCATTAAATATCAATCAACTGCAAGAATTCTATGACGTCCTAATCACATGATACAATATCGTAAAATATAAATTCGTTATTACTTTTGAATTTTTTATTCTGCTAAAAATGCAGATTCTCGATAGACGTTTCCAAGATGAGTCCAGAAGAAGTAACACGAGTGAAAATCGAGGAAGAGACAAAAATAGCCAAGGAAATAGCGAGAAAATCTCGGAAAGGTAAAATATATCATTAATCATAAGCACTAAATAAATCAACTTCCGCCCGAGACAAAATCCGATTATATACGAAAATTACTCTTATCGCCTGATATAGCAAAAATATTGTTACATAGAAGCTGAAGCTAAAGCGAGATACGAGGCGGAGATGCTGCATCTGACGACATCATTGTGCAACGAGACTTGTCTGCTGCTGTTTCCCTGGATATTCAAAGACGAAGAAGGACGTAGAAGAGATAAGAGGATGAGTCCACCATATGTGGAATTAGTTGAAGAATTATTACCGGAAAATTACACTGTGGAACAAGAGATACGCAAACGACTGAATGAGGATTTGCTCCGGCAGATGCTCGATGAAGTATTTTTGTTTCCTTATGCTATAACAGACTCTTATTATTCAGCTATTGTTAGTAAAAATATAACATGTTCTATTTTTTAACATGCAGTCTACATATAGTTTTTCGGAAGCTACCAAACAATTGCTCTTTGATGGCAAATGTATGTTTATGCGATTGAAGATTGTCGAAGGGAGAAAGAATCTGGAAGTTCATAATTATCTGTGCAGTATTCTGTTCAATGAACCAACATTACCGGAAACAGACGACTGTTTAAATGAAGATTGGTATGCGATTTATTTTCAGTGTGCAATTTGATGCATTTGCAATATAAAGTATAAAATTAATTGGAAAACTGATACCACAATATATACCGACAAAATAATATTGATGATAAAACTATTGAAAATTGTTAGTACTTGCGATTAATATTGTAATAATCTATGTTTTTAAAATTAATCATTACTTTATGTAGTTACGCCGGAAAACATTGCCCAGCTTTTGACATTCCTGACAAGGAAAATAGAAAATTTCCTTTTGTTTGGACACCTCCAAATCCTAGAAACAAGGCAATTGTTTTTCGTACAATATTCAATGTTTATACTAACACAACATATCCGGTAAGTATATGTGAAAAGTACATTTCACAAAATTTAATAGTTTTTCTCGAAATCTTTAAAGGGCTTGAATCGAGACATAGATAATAATTATATATGAAAAATCAGACAATATAATTATACATAATTCTGATTCTATATTATATTTCTTTAATCTAATTTACTTAAAATTATAATTTATTAAAATATACATGCAACTTTTTAATAATATATATATCTCGATTCTCTCCACAGTATGAAGATAAAATGACAAAAGTGCCAATAACCATCTTCAAATATGATTATACGCGTAAAAATGATTTAAAAATGGTGTTGGACATGTTCAACGATGAGGTCCTCAATTTTGGTATATTTGAATATGATAAACCGCCTGAGGCTAAGATAATTGCCAAAAGTATAGAGACATTCGAGATGAACACGGAAGAGAAGACAGGGTATTCTCTTCTATCATATACATATATATAAAATTAAAAAATTCAGTGATGTAATCCATTTTTCCAGAATTTAAAAAAGTTAATCTATAATTTAATTGTGACTTTCTTCTTTAAAAACTATGGACAATATGCTATATCATTCAAATTTACTTAAATCATATCTATTTTTAAAATAGGTAATATTTTTGTAGATAATATTTCTAACATTTTTTAACTTTCATATCTTTATCACTTTTCAATTAAATAAATATTTTTGAATAACTCCTTCAAATTCTAAAAAAATATGTGTATATTTATATTGTATTAACTTCTTTACATCTTTGGTAACAAGAGAAGTTTATTTTACCTGGGCATTAAATTATTTCACGTTTCATTCACAGTTACGAAATATTCGTCTGCACAGTGAAGAAAGTAGGTTGCGAAGCATTTCTGGGCTTCGCCGGAATTGGACCTTATCATATAAGCGAAAATCCGGAGAAGGCTATCGAAGAATCCAAATTATATTTTCCGGATGTTACTGCCGTAGAGGAAACGCAATCGGACGACGAAGAAAAACCCGAGGAACTGGAAGAGAATCAAGATGATACGACGGCAATATAATTGTCTCATGACATGATAGATTTATAAAAGATAGTAAAATAAAAAATCTAATAAATTTAAATGTAATTTAATAATAAACAGTAATTTTTAATTGCAACATTATAGATAAAATTTAATACACAACAATACATAACAAAGAAGAATTATTTAATACATAACAAAGATTATTATTTAATACATAACAAAGAAGAAAAAATGATTATCGATAAATAGTATTATTAGCTATGTATAGTACAACAAAAAATAAATAAATAAATAAAGCATAAAGAATAAGATAATGTTTATTTTTCAGTCACTTTAGTTTGGGTTAAAAAAAAAGATTGCTTTGCATATTCTAGTAATAATAATAATAATAATATAATATTACTGTGCAAAATAACTTCCACAATAATAAACATTGTACAAATATTTACCATTAATTTTGAAATTTCTCAAAGATTCTAGTGTCATCAGTGATAGTACCAACGACTATTGTGATGCAATTCTCTCTTCCAAGTTTCTTCATCAATACATATGAACGAAATAGATGGTTGATAAATTTTGTTCATAAAGAACCATTCCTAAAATAAAAAATAAAGTTTTTATTACATATTTTTATTATATATCATCCTGGTTTTAATTTATTCTTCTCATATTTTTTCTCTAAATTGAAATCATTAGATTAAAATCATTAGATTAACAAAATTCTTTAGGCTTACACAAGCTTCTACTAAAAAGACTGTACGTTAATTAGAGAAGAAACAAATATACACACCTGATATGTCAGTGATATAATTATATATATGTACTATTAAGCAGGTTGTATGTTAAATTCTATAAAATTTTATATAATATGTGTAATATGTGTATGTATTGTTTTACTAAAATTTTGTATACAGAACTTCATAGCAAAAAAAGTTTAAAAATCATAATTGCAAAAAATTGAAGACATATATCAATTACAATGATCCGCTTATTTGTACTGCCAATAATTGAACCAAGGCTGCAATTGACAAAATATTTCTTTAGCAAACAGTAAAACTGAATCAGCCTATGTAAGATCTGATATAGAACCTGTTCTTTTTAGGTGCATTATTTTAATTCTATTTAAAATAAAAGAAATATGTGTATGTGTGTGTATAATCAAATATTGAAGAGAAAAAAGGAAAGTACAAGAGATGCAGCTAAAAAGAACAGACCTATAGAGAATGCAATCACAATTTTTAAAACTTAAATGCAGATGAATTGCTAATATATAATCACGATCATTTGATTTATCTTATTTTTTTAATGAATAAAGGATAAAGAAAAAGATACAGTATAAAGTTTTCACATGTAATCACAATCGTGAAAATTATTTATTTCAATAAAATGTCGATAGTATAAGAAAATTGATGCGTTATTTTTAATGAAGTTAAGTAAGTTCTTTTATTTGATTTGGATTTGATAATTTAACTAATATTTATCGAAAATAAAATTTATTACCTTGACCAGAAGTTGTAAATATACATCTTAGGACTTCGATTACATTCGCCACATCTTCTCTCGTCATGTTTATGATTAATATCGATGCCCTATAAAAAGAAATATTTATTGTTAATTAAACAATATAATATTTGATAAGTAGGCGCAATTATCTCAAGTAATAAGCAGCTGCATAATAATTGATTTTTTTAATCAGATAGGACATTCTTCTGACCGTCACTTACCATTTTGAACGATGAGTTTCTTATTGACCATGAACGACGTGAAATTTAGGACAGAAACTCGCTTTGCGAAAAAAGTTTGTTCTTTTTTATTCCTGCACTAAACACTTGGCATAAAAAGGAACAAACTTTTTAGAAAATAACTTGCTATTTTGCAAAGCAAATTTCTTTTCTATGTTTCATGTCGTTCATGATCGATAGAAAAATGACAGACAGGTCGTGACCTAATTTGCACACGGAGAAAAAGAAGAAAATCGCAGTACAGTCACGTTTATTATGTCTTGCAACTTTGACGAAATCGTTGACTTCAATATACAGTTACTACAAGACTATCTAAATTTTTGAAGAAAAGACGTAATTTGAAAGATGCAGTGAGTATATGTTTATCTCGTTAAAGTGCTAAAAATATTCTGGCGCGAATCCTCTCACTTTTTCTCTTCGCTGTCACTTTTACTTTCAAAACAGCTGTTCGTCAATACAGTTTATCAATTTCATCTGTCATGTCAATTTTCTTTCACAAAATTAATAAGCACGCATCTTAAGATATTACCTTTTCTTGCCCCTTATCAGCGTTGACATTGACATTATTTGCTATGCTATAATGCAATGTGTCATAACATAACACGTATCCATATCTGTCAGATCTTTCGACGTAGCAGAGATATCTACATACATACGAGTATTCCCGAAAGAGAGAGAGTATGTTATAACGTTGCTTTGAAAAAAGAAGTGTTTCAATGTAAATAATAAATCACATTTAACAAAATATACTTTTCTTACTGATAAGTTTAATAGGTATGTAAAAGACTAATTATGTACATTTTCTTTCTTTGTGTGGAAAATATATCTGAAGGAAATAACACAATAGATTCTTACATTACCAGAAATTGCATCATCCCTTCAAAAAACGAAAAATTTTTTTTTGACGATAATTATAAGAATTTTGTTCTTCTGTTAAAATCTAAATTGAATTTTCTTTTAATAGTAATTTCTTTAACCTTTCGTGATATTTTTATTTCAAAATATAATTGCAAGTAAGTCAGAAAATGTCATTAAAATTAAAATCATGAATTGTGAAATATGTATAGTATGATGCAATCTTTATTCTACATGATGTTACATTATAAGATTTTTATTACATATTTCATTCATAACTATATTATTTTTATCTTAATATACCTCATAGAAATTTCATATTTATAATGAAATTTTATAAAAAAATATAAACAAAGAAATATTTTTATTCCTATCCTTATAAAATATTAATGAAAGTTAGGAACAAAGGTATTAATTTCATTTTACAGTTAACTAAATTTTAAAATAATTTACATTAAAAAATGGCATTTTACAATTAATAATTACAGATATGGAATCGTTTTTACAACTTTTTAATCCACAAAATGATAAGGATATAAGGAAAAGGCAGTGGAATGATTTTGAAAATGATGGAAATGGATTGTCGGATTGCGAGACTTCTAGTACTGATGAAGATCAAGAGGACTGTCTGCCACCGGAGCCTGAACAAGGAAACATAGAATACAAATTAAAATTAATAAATCCATCTAGTCAACGTTTTGAACATCTTGTTACCCAGATGAAATGGAGGCTAAGAGAGGGACATGGAGAGGCAATTTATCAAATTGGTACAAATAATTACAATTTCTGTAGTTTTGCATTGCTTTTCTCTCTGCTTATTTTTCAATGTGTCCGATATATAGGAGTGGAGGACAATGGAAAATTGGCGGGTTTAACGAAAGAGGAAATGAAAGCGTCCCTAAAGACTCTGAAAGACATGGCTTCCAGACTGGGTGCTAATATAAGGATATTACGCGAGCGTGCAGTCACGAGTTCCACAAATAAAACCTTGACAATTCAAAATAGAAATAATAATATTAATAAGGAGGAAAAGAAGGTTGCTGAAGTATTAGTAAAAAAATTACGGAAGGACGATAGAGAGGACCAGGATAGTATTGTAGATCTGAGACTGGCTGTTATTGGTGCGCAAGATGCTGGAAAGTCAACTCTCTTAGGTGAGAGAATTAGCAGAGGATATTTAAGGTAGAGACACTGACAGTCTACACTACACTCTGCTACTTAGTTGCCTGCTATTTATCTTATATATGAAATCATTGAGACCACAATTGTAAAGATTATATAAATAACATGTACAATTAACAATAACGATAATATAATATAAACTCATTGTTTACATAGGAGTACTGACGCAGGGTGAGTTGGATAATGGTAGAGGTAGAGCGAGGCTCAATATGTTGCGTCATCTGCACGAGATAAAAACGGGTCGTACATCCTCGATATCGCACGAGATCATCGGATTCGATAGTACAGGTCACATCTTGAACTATGCTGAAATGGCTACAGCTGAAGAGATATGCGAACATGCCTCGAAAGTCGTTACATTCATCGATTTAGCTGGACATCGAAAATATTTGAGGACGACGGTACTCGGACTTACAGGTATGTAATTTTTAAATTGCATTTTAATTGCATGATACATTTTGTATATTATAACGAATAATTTATATATGTTTTTTCCCCTGTAATAAGAGAGAGAGAGAAAATTTAAATTATTAAACAATATAATATATATATATA